CTTATTCATGTTAAAAACACTTAAGGACATGGGTGCTGGTGGCTCGCGTCTGTCATCCTAGCTACTCAGGAGGTGAGATCTAAGGATTACAGTTGAAAGCCAGTCCAGGCTGGAAAGTCCATGAGACTCTCTTTTTTGGGTAATTTTTTAAAAACACTATTGTAAGGGTGATGTACAGAGAGGTTACAGTTACATAAGGCAATAAGTGCATTTCTAGTCATTGTTACCCCTCTCTCATTTTTCTCCCACTTTCCCTCCCCCCCCGACTCTCCCCCCTGCACCCAAGCTGTAAAGTTCATTTCTAACATAGTGTCTCGTGAGTATGGCTGTTGCATTGGTTCCCCCTTTGTCCTTTGTCTCAGCACTTTGTGATTCCCCTCCCTCCTGTGTGAGGCCCATGATGCAATCCTAGCACGGGGAAGAAAGCACTGAGGAGAATCCAAAGTGATGGATATGTATGTGTGTATGAGAGACAGACAGAGACAGAGACACAGAGAGACCGTGAGAGAGGCAGAGACCGAGACAGACAGATTTTACCCCCTACGCCAACAGTTTGCTTGATAGGGAAAAGCTAGCTGTTATGCTCTGAATATGATCTCTCCTCCAAAATTCAATGAAATTTGATTGGCCTGTGGCAGTGTTTGACATGGGGGCTTTAAGAGGTGGTTACATTGTTTTATTATTTACTTTTTTGTCGGTTGTGGGTCCTGAACTCTGGGCCTGGGCGCTGTCCCTCAGCTCTTCAGCTCAAGGCTACCACTTGAGCCACAGCGCCACTTCCGGCTTTTTTCTTTTTGCTTATGTGGTGCTGGGGAATCGAACCCAAGGCCTCAGGAATGCAAGGTGAGTGCTTTACCACTGAGCCACCTTCCCAGCCCCTGGTTATGTTGTTAAAATGAACTAAAGCCTTTCTCAAGGGAGAGGGTTCGTAACAGTGAGAGCCGGGTCGGTGTACAGTGAGTCTGATTTCCCACCGTGTTATGACACAGCCGAGCAGACACTAGTGTAAGCAGTCTCCTTTCGGGACAAACTCCTATATTAACACAACTTCCCAATGCCCTTTCATTAGCTAAAACCTTTTGGAGAATGCTAAGCATGACCAAAGCCATCCCATTTGAACCTTGGAACATGTGATCCATGACCTGAGCTAAACAAGCCCAAAATGTGTCTGCAGTCTTTTTGTAACTACAGCTTACCCGAAACTGAGCATGCTCAGGAACGTACTCTTTAACTGAGTGCATGATCCCAGAATAAAATTCCCACACTTCCTTTGCAAATAACTTTTCTTCTTCTCCCCTCACCCCAGCTTTGAAAATAACATGCTGTTCCCCTTCCCTGCTGCGGGCAGTCCATCTTCTCCCCTCTGATTTCTCGGAACTGCTTGTTTTGTCTTTACACTCACCAAGATGTGAGCTCACTGCATGTAGTTTTGGAGTTTGTTGGTAGTGGTGCTTGAACTTGGGGCCTGGGCACTGTTCTTGAGCTCTTTTGTTCAAGGATAGCATTCAACCACTTTGAGCCACAGCGCCACTTCTGGTTTTCTGGAGGTTCACTGGAGATAAGAGTCTCACAGACTTTCCTGTCTGCGCTGGCTTTGAACCCCAGGCCTCAGATCTCAGGCTCCTGAATAGCCAGGATTCCAGGCAGGAGCCACCGGTGCTCCACTTTGCATGCAGTTTGTACTATCAGCATGCTCTAGGACTTCTTAGCCTCCACAAGCATGAGCTAAATAAACCTCTATTCTCTGCAAATTATCCAGAATCGTGTGTTTTGCTATAGCAACAGCACTCGTTTCTCACTAAAGTCTGATAAAAGCAAAATAGCCTTTCTTTGCGGCACTTGGAAAGGAACCCAGGTCCTTGGGGATGCAGGCAATTGTTCGCCACTGAGCTCCAGCCTTTTACTTATCTTTTGACAGTCTTGCTACCGTAGCCCAGGCTGGCCTCAAAACTGTCATCCCCCTACCTCAGGGTCTTGAGTGCTGAGAGGAAAGGTGTGCATTTTTCTCTATCAGTATTATATACTAAAATATGTACATATGAACTGGTAAAATGGATACAATTTGCTTGCAACCACAAGAAAGGAGAGAGGGTAGAGAGGTAGCTGAAAGAAGACTGGCCGCAGGCTGAAGGCAGCGAGTATTGCATGTACATTCACTTTATTATTTTCTGGTTTTATAACACTATTTTTATATTTTTAAACACACATTTCTATCTTGTTTGGGGTGGGTGGTCCTGAGGCTTGAACTCGGGGTCTGTTCCTGAGCTTCTTTTGTTCAAGGCTAGCGCCCTACCACTTGAGCCACAGCTCTGCTTCCAGCTTTTTCTGTGATTAGAGATAAGAATTTCACAGACTTTTCTTACCCAGGCTGGTTTCGAACCACAATCCTCAGATATCAGCCTCCTGAATAGCTAGGATTCAGGCCTGAACCATTGGCATGCAGCATATTTTTAGCTTTCTTATGTGCACCCAGAATATTTGTATCTTGTTATGAGCACTCAACACATTTTTATCTTTTCTTCCTGTGTGTGTTGGGACTGAATTCAGGACTTCACTCATACTAAAACATGTATTCTACCAGCCCCTGTTTTGATAGATGTGAGTCTTCATAAAATTGTAATGAAAAAAACAAAACACTTCCATTTTGTTCTTAAGGCAGGTTAGTTTAATTTTATAGAAGAAATACTTTCAAACAATACAAATGACAAAGGTCAGCGAGAACAGGGACAAAAACAGAGATGAGTACTGATTATAATTTATTCCCACAACAGAAGAGTCATTTCAGAGACCACCACCAAAGCCCGGGATGAGTGATTGGATAATGTGCAAAGCCAAATTCCCTTTTACACAGAGTGCTGCTTCTACCAACCCTGGCGACAGAAGCCCAGCATCTGTGAAGCACAACTGCTTAGCACGCAGCAGGTTCTTTTTGCACGAGGCAGTGCACACGCAAGCTGGAAGCCAGAGGCCTTCACTTGTCTGATGTGCGCAGTGTTTTCTGCCCAGCCAGGCCCGCCCGTCATGGATGAGAAGCAATGCGGACGTTACATGTTCTCCTGCCTGCTCAGAGCAATCGCCGGCGCTGCGCATGCGTACATTCTCCCAGCCTTCAAGCGCTTGCATGTTCTCTCCTTGCTTCCATTCCACTCAGATTTCAAGGCCACCCAGCAACCCAGGCTTGGAGGCAGGGGAAGACAAGGCAAAAGGTGGCAACCCCACGTGTTCCTTGCTCCCCGTAGCTGGGAAGCAGGTGCTGTGTGTGCTTCCTGCAGGGTGGGGGGGGGGTGGCGGTGGCACACCGCACAGACCCCTGTGCAGAGGGGGGGGCGGTGTCCGTAGAAGACACGTGTCTCCGCCTCCTGAGCGCACACAGGGAGCTTCTCAACAAGGGGTGGCAAAAAAGCTGCTTCACCCCCCAACCCTTAGATGCTGTAAAAGGCCTGCCGCGTGGGACTCCAAACGACCTACTCTGTGCACACGCCGGCATCGGCTACTGGGGGCAAAGACAGACGGCCTGCTCAACGGTTCTCATGAGGGTATAGATGCTTTGGGTCTCTACCTCTATTGTGGGTTCAAACAAAAAGGAATTAGCAAAAAACATAACAAAACAAAAACAAAAAAACAGGCCAAAAAAGCAAGACTAAAAGCAAGAATCAGGAATGCATAGCAAGAGATGGCAACCATTAAAAGCATACAATTTTCAGTCTTGCCATCACTGACAAATTCAATTGTCCGTGATTGGTCTTATCCATGAAATGCTTTTACAAAACTCAATTTTAATAAGTCTAACAAGGAAAGTGGGTTATACAAGGAGGGAGGTTATAGATTGATATGAGAGACCTGATTAAAAGGGGCATTTCTGCAGGAGGGGAAGAAAGATCTAGGAAGAGAGTTCTGTTTTCTTTGACATTTCTTGTGACCACTTCATTTACTCCTTCAAGGCCTCAGAAAGAAGAGCACACTTCATCTGAAGTAAGTATGTGCCAGGCAAACTGTATCATTTGACATTTCAAAGAATCATGGCATAGTTCATTACATTATCATTTTTTTCTTCATGAGCTAGTACTATGATTTCGTGAGAACTAATGGGAAGGCTTCAATATGGGAGGGATTCTGATTTAACTGGATACATTTCTGGAAGTGATTACCTGGGCAAGTCCAGTTACCTATATCTCCTTCCCTCCACACATACACAAAAGCACCTTCAGAGGTTACGTCTCTGCCATGTTAACCACCGCATTTACCCTCAGCTTACTGGAAATGTACACACTGAGTTCCCTCTCCACTTCCCTTCATGAAACAGTAGTAGAGAGCAGGAGAGCACTCCCACCCTGCTCATCTGCACATGCTCTAAGGAGCCCAGGCAGTCTGATCGGCCATTGGCCACCATAGACAAGCAGGCTGAAGCTCGGGATGCTGAAGGCCCTGTCACCAAGCTTCAGACTCGTGGCAAGCACGGAAAGATGCAGGAGACGACAACACAGCGAGAGAGCCAGCAGTGGCCAGCACACAGCACACGCCGAGCCCTGCGACGCAGACACAGCCTGCGGATGACACTTTAACCTAACACAAAGACAGCGACAGTGTACAATAAGACACGGCAAATGAACCTGTGAGAATCTGATACAAGTAACACATTTAGCACATAGTGTTTGCGTTTCAGGTGTCAGAAACAAGACCGGCCCCAAGTTCCATTCTACTGCATGACAAATACGGAAGAACAAAATTTCAGTCTTAAAATACATCTTAAAGTCAGTATTTTCCTTCAAGGAAAAAAAGTACTATAAATAAATTACAATACAGTGAATTTGCCTGAACTCACTTCGTTTCTGTCTTCCAGCCTTTAAGTCAAATAAAACAGCATAAAAACTGTACACTCTTAACATGATAGTTGATCTTTTATAAAATAACCTGTCTTCAGAGATGTCAATTTCACAACAAGGAAAAACCAAGCCCTGTTGTCGTCACTATTATAAAATATATATGAATAGATATATGGGTTTTTTACAAAATGTGTATATTAATAGCTTTTGCACAAATATTTTAAAGACAAATTTAGCTAATCTAAGAAATTCATGAAAATAAATCAGGCAGATAAATACTTCCTGTGTATAACGCTCTACATCAAACATCATCAGCTGGGAGAGGAGGTATGTTAATCCTTGGTCTTGTAAAAAATGCTATCTTCTCCCTGGGATTGAAAAGAATAACAGGTTAGATGTGAGTCTGAAGATACTGAAAGCTGACATCAGGCTCTCCTAGCAATGATGGCTTTCCTTACAGAACAAACTGAACTTAAAGACATAGTAGCACTTATGTTTGTACACTGCATGTGAATTTAATAGACGTTATGAAGTTCTGAGGGCAGAAGTTGTTTTTATCTCCTAAATCACTGCCTAGCAGAGAGATATGGGCACACAGGAAATACTTGTTTTATTAACAAAAGAAAAACCACATGCATGAATGAACTTTAAATCATTATTTGAAGGAAGCACACTAGTCTTTTATACTAATTTATGATGGAGATGTGAGTATCAAAGATATCCAAAACTCAAGGAGGCTCAAAGTCAGGTGTGTATTATCCTGCAATCAAAAGGAATGAAACATGTTATAATGTAGATGAATTTCAAAAGCATGCTAAGTAAAAGCAGCAAGACAAGAAAGACCATGTATCGCATGATTCCACTGATATGAAGCAGCCAGAAAAGGCAAATCCAAAGGAACAGAAAACACATTGCAGGTTGGCAGGGCTAGGGAGGGGGAAGGGCAGTGGCTACTGAATGTGTCTGGCTACTTTCCGGCTGATAAGCGTGTCCACAGAGGCAGAGGTGGCACAACATGGTAGATAGGCTGAATTCTACTGACCTGTTTGCTCTAAAATTTCTAATTTTATGTTATGTGGTTTCACTTTAATTTTTGCAGATATAAGAGAATACATATGTCTCTGTGCAATTCCCCTCAGGTATGAAAACAAAAGCAGGCTTTAACGTGCTGATGACTCAAGTTGGGAAAAGCCAGGGTGCTGATAATGCCCGAGTCTTGTGGATGTTGACTCTGTGACCATTCATTCAACTGAGCAAAACACACACTCTCCTCTATGTAGACGCCACCATAACAAAATGTCAATTGAAAAAGCAAAGCTGACATATATGTGTGTACATGTGTAAATCAGTTATTTGTAATACCAAACACATGGAAAGAAAGAGCAGTTTGTAAAACAGAGTAGTTGGGTGAATTATACTTACTAGATGAAACAAGCTACTATGGGATGTTTTCATAGTAAAAATTGATTCTGGATTAGGATTACAGGTGCCATAGAAATAGTGGGTAGAAAGAGAAGATCAGAAGAAAACGTCAAGATGCTACTAGTGGTGAGAATTCTGCTTATATCGCCCTCCTGCTTTCTTTTTCGGCGGGTACTTCCCTTTTTGTCATAACAAAAGTATCACAGTAACAAGCGTGCAATGACAGGCACCGCTGGCCATGGAATTCTGCTCTACCCTACCTAAAGGTCTGCACTTGGATGGGCTCTTTGTGGTTTTGCCCTCGCAGTTGGTAGATCTCTTTGGAGGCCTTCTTCAGCATCTTCTCAGCTGCTTGTTCTTGATGGTAGTCAAGTTTGCTCTGTCTGGTCTGGAACAGAAACATTTGATGAGGAACACTTTTCCATTGGATTTATTTTTCGAAGAAGAATAAACGGATGTTCAGTCACTGGAGCTCTGAAGAACCAAGTCCCGCCATAGAGTTCCAGGTGGGAGGGAGGCCGGCCTCATCCGTATCTCCCAGGGAAGTCTCCACAGAGATCACTAAGGGTGGCTGGAATTAAGTCTCACCGACTTAAGATCCCAACATTCTCCTCACAAGGTGGGGGACCACAGGCCTTCCTCTCCAGCCCCTAGAAGCTTCCAGATATATGCTGACGGCTCCACAAACACCACCCTGCTGGTCCATACTGGGGAAGAACAGACTGCATACTCATTCAATTACACTGTCATTTGGAGGACACTCCCTTCCGGGCCAAACAGCAGCTGGAAAAGCAGCTGAGGGCTCGTGGGGGCAGGCCTGGGGCCTCTCACCTGCCGCTCCGCTTCCTTCAGCAGGCTGCGGAATCGCTCATCCCAGAGCACCCAGTGTGGGAGGTCCGTCTGGCCTCGGACCTGGGCATCTTCTAAGCGCTGCCTCAGTTCCCGGAGAGCACAGATCTCTTCATTCAGCTGTCTCTGCCGTGTCCTTGATGCCTGGAGATCCAGCTCCAGGTCTAGGGAGGTGCGAGCCATGAGCTCGGCCAGAGAAGACCTGCAGGACTGGGGGAGATGTTGCTTTTTGAGTGTACATATCAGCTCTGGCCTTCTGGAAGGCTCTTCCACAACTAATAAACAGACACAATGGAAGTATTCCTCTCTGAGGACAGCCCAAATGACCGCAGTAAGGTGCAGATGTATTTGCAAATGTATGGCGCCAATGGCTCACTCCTGGAAACCTAGCTACTCAGGAGGCTGAGATCTGAAGATCATGGCTGAAAGCCAGCCCAGGCAGGAAAGTCCATGAGACTTTTTTTGTTGTTATTTTTGTGCCAGTCCTGGGGCTTGAAACTCAGTCTAGGTGCTGTCTCTGAGCATTTCTGCTCAAGGCTAGTACTCTACTACTTGTGCCACAGCTTCACTTCTGGTTTTTTGGTAGTTAATTAGAGATCAGAATCTTAAGGACTTTCCTGCCCCACCTGGCTTCAAACAGCAATCGTCAGGTCTCTACCTCCTGAGTAGCTACGATTCTAGGCGTGAGCCACTAGCACCAGACTTCGTGACTCTTATGTCTAATTACCCACCAAAAAGCCAGAAGTGGAGCTGTGACATAAGTGGTTGAGCACGAATCTTGAACAAAAAGGCTCAGGGATAGTGCCAAGGCCCTGAGTTCAAACCCCAGAACCAACACACGCACAAACACACACACACACACACGAGAGAAAGAAAAGAAGAGGTAGGAAGGTACAATTCTGCCAATGTACAGAGTGCAGTGAAGGTTTATGACAGAGAAACAAAGCTAAACACATAGCAGCAGGAACCTGGTTAAATAAATTACATGGTGGCTTGTATGAGCGTCAGTGCACCAAGGCCACATGCCACAGCATCCTACCGAGCACAGGACAGCCCTCACAGCAAACAGTAATCTTGTTCAAAAGGGCAACAGTGTTGAAATACTTTAGCAGCTGAATTATGACCTTTCTTACAATTCCTAGCCATTGGCCAATCAGAGTAAAATCAGTACATATAATCCATGAATCTTAAAAATATACATTCCTGCCAAGTACCAGTGGTTCACACCTATACTCCTAACTAAGGAGGCTGAGAACTGAGGACTGAAGTTCAAAGCCAGGCCAGGCAAGTAACTCCGTGAGACTCTTATCTTTAATAAACTACCAAAAAAACCAAACAAACAAAGCTGGAAGTGAAGCTGTGGCTCAAGTGGTAGAGCACTAGACTTGAGCAAAAACACACCCAAGAGGGCCTGCGCTGGCTCACATCTGTCATCCTAGCTACTCAGGAGGCTGAGATCTAAGGATCACAGTTTAAAGCCAGCGCAGGCAGGCAAGTCTGTGAGACTCTTATCTCCCATTAACCATGAGAAAACCAGAAGTGTGGCTCAAAGTGGTAGAGTGCTAGCCTTGAGCAAAAAAGCTCAGGGACAGCACCCAGGCCCTGAGTTCAAGCCCCATGATGGGCCAAAAAAAAAAGTGTGGGTGTGCATGTGTGTAGTGTGTGTGTGTGTTTCCCAAAAAGGACCACTACCTTACAAAGTGAAATTTTATATGAAGAAAAAAACTGAGTAAAGAGAATTAAAACCATAGGATATCCTATGTAGAAGAAATGCTATATGTCAAGAAACTCACATTTTCTAAAATATATATATATATACTCTCCAGTCAAAAAAGTAAAAGGTGTATACAAATGATTAATTTATGACCTATGAATATGAAGATCATGAATGACATAAAATAACAGTAAGATATACTGATAACATGAATATATGCTCAGAAAAATAATATGTTAAGGAAACAGGAAACAAACTATTACCCTTCAAAGGTAATAACCTTTCAAAGACCATAAAAGTAACCTTCAGGGAAAGTACACATCCCATATTTGTTTACGTGTCACCCACCTGTTTATAGCGAAGTGTTCGTCTTTCCAAAGTATTTCGGACAAAAGGGGATTTCCGGGGCAGTGTTGAACTGTCACTGTCACTTCGATAAAGCTGCATCAGAAAGCATGATATTCAGAAACAATCAGAAATTCACTACAGCAGTAGTACTCTGCATTCATGTACAGAAATGGGGCAATAAGAGCTGTTGAAATTGTTTTAAGGAGGAAAGAATAAGGACAAAGGATAGAGGGGGTACGCTTTAACCATATATGGAAATGTTTTAATGAAACCCTTACGTACAATCAATATATGCTAATAAGTTTAAATAAAAACACTCATTCTCTGTGTGTATTCTGAATGGCATTATTTTGGTTTTTTTTTTCTCATGAGTATTCAGACATATTTAGGACTTTTGGTGCTTTTTTACTAAGTCTTTGCATTTCAGTTAAAACACAACTAAGAAAGAGTTTAAGGGAAAATGAAAGATGAACCCAAACTAAACCAAACCAAAGCCACAACCCTGGTCTCCTTTCATGTCTTTCAAGTTAACCACAAGAAGTTTCCAGACTAGCAGAATCAATATTTCTGCCCTATCAGTACTAACTAAACTTGATATAAGGTATGATACTTATGAAAGCTGGCAGTGTTCTTAGCGTTTTCTTATTTATTGATTGTTCTCATTTGCTATATTTCTGGTTTGTGCAAGAGCTGGGAAAAACAGGTTTCTGGAAAAAGACACTCATTCCTGGTAGCAGTAAGACAAGCCAACATCACCAAGTCCTGCTGTGTCAGTCGAGGGAAAAGATCTGGTTTTAAGAGAGAAATAAAGAATGTCTTCTTTATGAGAGGCAGGATATTATGGATTTCATGTGGTAGCAGGGTCTCACCACAGAATCAATGTGTGTCTGTGTGAAAGCCCAAGCCTTGCCTTCACAGCCTTGTTTTTTTCTGTGCAGTTAACCTGAGATACTCAGGAAACACACTGGCATGCAACTTACCTGCCCTGCAATCACACTAACGTATCTGTGAACAATGAGGCCTCTAACAGCATCACGAATAAATGCAGACTTTTATGCAGGGCATAGAGCACTGCACAGTGAATGCCAGTCTTCAGCTGGCTGAATAAACTTTGCCCCATCACACACCCTATGCTCCTTAAGGTGCAGCCCTGAGTCTGCTCCCTGCTGGTTCAGCCAAAGGCTACAATGAAGAAGGCTATGAGAACAGCATTCACTTGAGTACACCCAACCACCTGACCATCTACCCTTAACAACAACTTTTCTAGCCAGAAGTTAGTGGCTCACGCCTGTAATTCTACCTACTCAGCAGGCAGAGATCTGAGGATCTTGCTTCCATGCCAGTCTAGGCAAATAAATCTGAACTATAAGTAGAGGTATGGCTCAAGTGGTAGAGCGCCAGCCTTGAGCAGAAAAAAAAAACTAAGGGAGAGTGCAAGGCCTTGAGTCTAAGCTCTTATCCTGCTGCACACACACACATGTGCGCATGCATGCACGCACGCACGCACACACACACACATCTTCTCTGTTCAGGACTGTGCTGTCACTGTCACATTGACAATGCCTGCCAACCTTTAACTCACACCCTATATTCAATAACCACACTGGCTTGGGTCTCCCTTCTACCTATCTAAAAGTGTGTCAGCTCTCTGTGCTTAAAAAGTATCTAGGAGTTGGGGCTGGGAAGGTGGCTCAGTGGTAGAGCGCTTGCCTTGCATGCCTGAGGCCCTGGGTTTGATTCCTCAGCACCACATAAGCAAAAAGAAAAAAGCCGGAAGTGGCGCTGTGGCTCAAGTGGTAGAGCGCTAGCCTTGAGCTGAAGAGCTAAGGGACAGCGCCCAGGCCCAGAGTTCAGGCCCCACGACCAGACCCCCCCCCAAAAAAAAAGTATGTAGGAGTTTCCAAAAGTTCTGCTGCTCTGGCCCCACTTATAACCCATGTCAAATCTCTGAGAGATTCAATATTGAATCAGGGTATACGAATTTGGTGAAGTCTCCCAGTATGGTCTGATTGCAAGGTACAGCCACATATCAGATCCCTGAGTCTCTTTTTGTCCCCCATAGGGTATGAATTTATACTTACACAGGTGAGTTAGAACCCACTCTTCAATGCTCAGAGTCTCCAAGTTGGCTCCAAGTGACCTGTTGCTCAATGATGTGGCTATTCTTTAGGCCTTCTAATCATGCAGAGGGACCTGGCCTCCCAGATCTTAACTCAGGAGAGTCCCTTGTTTTGCCTTGTGGCTCCTGACGCTGGTGGAGAAATGATTTACCCTGCCTCTCACCATGTCGTAGAGCACAAAGAGTACTAAAAACTCCAGAGGAAAAAAAATTCAAATTCTTCAGACTTGTAGAGTTAGAGAGGCAGAGGGCTAGGGTGGGGAGATGAGTCTAATAATAGGAATTTCATCTCCAATCTCATAGAGTTCATCATTTGTTGACATAATTCACGAGAATGCACATGTCTTTCTGCTTAAACAGTAAAAAATAAGAACATAGCAAGAACAAAGAAGAGAGTGTTTTTGATGGAAACAAAGGAACCCACTCACTCTGCAAACATATTGGCTTCGTGCTCCAGGAGAGAAAGTCTGCGAGCGAACGATGGTGCTACTCCGAACAAAGGGCGAGCCTCGGACCCGACGGCTAGGCCGCTCCTTTATAATGCTCATGGCTTCTTCTGGGAAGAGATCTTCTGTGGTGGTTTCCTTGTCAACCTAGAAAGGGGGTTATTCATTACTGTGAACCCTTCTACAGTACAAGTGGTACATGCAGTGTGAACAAGCGTCTCTCTGACATTTCTCCTGACTGAATTGGCAGTTTGTGTCTACTATGTCCAAGTGGAATGGTTAAGATTCCTGTTCCCCTTACACACACTTACACACACTTACACACACACACACACACACACACACACACACACACACACACACACACACACACACCAGGAGGGGCTGTTATGAGTATCTCAATTTTCTTTTTTGTTCACAGAAAATTATCTTAGTGTCATTCTGGACTCCATTTTCTTTCACATCTCCTATTTCTAACCTAAGAGAAAATCCTGTTGGCTTTTTACTCAAGATGAAGTCGATCTTGACCACTTGTTCCCAATCTTTCATCTTAGTCACTATTATTTCCTGACCAGATTAGAGCAAGGAGCATCTTGCCTGTGTCCCCAACTGCACGTTACCTTGCCCTTTCCATCTGTTCTCAACACAACAGGGAACTCTGGGGAAACCTATGCAAGCTAGGGCAGCACTCAAACCCATGCCTGCACACAGATGTTTGTGGCAGCACAATTCAGAGACAAAAGGCAGGAGCAGCTAAATGTGCATAGTGGATGAATGCACACAAGGGAATATTATTCAGCCACAAGGAAGACTGAAGTGTTGACATACGCTATAGTGTGGAACCACAGTGAAAATGCTATGTTGAGTGAAATATGCCAGCCACAAAAGACCACATCTTATGTGATTTCAATTTACATGAAACACACAGAATAGGAAAATGTACAGAAAGAAAAATCGATTTTGGTTGTCACCAGGGCCATGGGGTGGAGGAGTGATAAAATCCTGTGCATAGAGAGAGTAGATGCACAACATTATGACTGTATTAGATGCCACTGAATTATTCGTTTTAACATGGTTATATTATCTGAATTTTATCTCACTAGCTTTCAAAGGAAAACCTTAAGTGAGATCATATCATCACCGGCTTCAACCATCTACCAGATTCCATGCCTCTCAGAGAAAAGTCAGGTTCCTAAGTGGGTTATACACCCGATTATCCTTTGCCTTCCTCTGCCCTCAGATAGAAGAATCCCCTTTCGTCCCACTAGACTTTCTCTTCCTTGCTCTTTGGCGAAGCCTCCATGAGTTGTCTTTAAGTGTGGTTAATAAAAAATTCACCACACTAACCATTTTAAGGGTACAGTTCAGGAGTATTAAGTATATAACAAATCTCCACAAGTTTACCTTGCAAAACTGAAACTCTACCATTATTAAACAATAACCGCCCTACCCCCATTCTTTTTCCCCAACTTCTGGTGATCACCATTCTATTTTCTGTGTCTGTGAATTTTACTATTCCAGGCACCTCACGTGAGTGGAATCATATAATGGGAGTCCACTCTCCATATTGCAGTTTCTGCATCTGTGAATTCAAGCAACTGGACATAAAAAATATTTAACAAAAAAATTCCAGAAAGTTTCAAAGAGCAAGACTTGAACTTGTCTAACTGAACCCCATGCTACATCCATGTGAGTGGGGTGGTACACACACTGCTATAGCCTCCCAACATGTGACAGGTCTTCAGTCCCTCTTTAGCACTCATTTGAGCATTATTTGCTGTAAAATGTTCAAAAGTAGCAATTACTGGTAGCCTGCTCAAAAATAACTACTGCAAAAGTGCTGTATGGGCTGCACGGGTAAGCTGACAGGTGGTAAATCTGTGCCTGGTTTTTCAGGGTGAGGTGAAGGGCCGTGTGATAGCATGTTTTTGTATACAAACAGTTTGGGTAATAAAGTTTCAACAGAGCACTAATATAATGCCAACCAAAAGCAACAAATCAGCCAGGCGACACACACCTGTAATCCTAGCTACTCAGGAGGCTGAGATCTGAGGATTGTGGTTCAAAGCTGGCTGGAGCAGGAAAGTCTGAGATTCTTTTTTTTTGGGGGGGCGGGTCCGGTCGTGGGCCTGAACTCTGGGCCTGGGCGCTGTCCCTCAGCTCTTCAGCTCAAGGCTAGTGCTCTACCACTTGAGCCACAGCGCCACTTCCGGCTTTTTTCTTTTTGCTTATGTGGTGCTGAGGAATCGAACCCAGGGCCTCATGCACGCAAGGCAAGCGCTCTACCACTGAGCCACCTTCCCAGCCTCCAAGTCTGAGATTCTTATCTCTAATTAACTACCAGAATAAAACAGAAGTGGCACGGTGACTCAAGTGGTAGAGCACTAGCCTTGAGTGAGGGGGGTGGGGAAGCTCAGGGACAGCATCCAGGCCCTGAGCTCAAGCCTCACAACTGACAAAACAAACAAACAAATACCAATCCCCCCCCCCAAGAAAAACTAATCAGATGGCAACAGGGACAAAAACGTATTTTGTATTCTTCATGTTACAATGGGAAAAAGAGTATTGAGAAACATTACTTCCTCAAACCTTTGGGACCCAGGAAACTGCTTGAGCCTTTTTGTCCTTAAATATAGGAAAGGATCTTCACAAAATAGCATAGGAAAGATTGAAACCCTACCTTTTCATTGTAGCTCTTTTTTCCTTGCAATCTAGAGGTGATGAATATTTCAATAGTACCTGCTGTGTCCATGTCAAGCCATTTACAGATCTTTCCCTCAGCTCGCAGTAAAATACAGCTTTAAGTTAGGTACAGGCCCCAAATCCAACAGCATTATTCACTTTATATCACAGTTCCCCATATCCCACAACATCTACATAGCCACGCGGCTGCTGGTCAGCATGCCTTTCTACTGGATGTGAACGCAGTGGCTCCAACAGGCTTCCTGTAGGGCCTGTCCATTGCCACTGCTTTCACATTTCCCATGATGTGTATGGACACACAAGCCCCTCTAGGGCTGGCCTAGTCCTGTACATTCCAATACCAGTAGCTCCACAAGATCTTGTGATGTCTTCTGCTTACCTTTAGTGGCGGTGTCTGAAGTTTCACAGGGTTGTAAGGATCGGCCTGGCCAGCAAATGTGTGTCCGTGGATGGAGTCGACACCAACACAACAGGGCTCTGGGTACGAGGGGCTGGTCTGGGTGCAGTTGCTACAGCCACTGTCAACTGAGTCAGCCTGCCAGCTCCTACAGACGGACGGTGCAAAAGTCCCCAGAATGTTCAGCAGAAGGAACTTGATTCATGCCTGCTCTCAGAGCATGGTAGCAGAAACCTCTAATAAAACCTCCTTCTAATAACTAAACACAGTTGCTGTTCTCATACATAAAAGGGTAGTTCTGATTGTAGGGAAGAAAATGCTTGAATCACTTTCAACTAATAGAGTCCTTCTTTACCATCCATGGGTGTAGCTGCTGAAGGGGCCAGAAAGTCCCACATAAAGAGCTCCCCACATGGTATCCCCTCCCTCAGCCATGCATTCTCTCTCCCTAAAGTAAACTCCCCTTTAAACTATATTCAAGGGAACTATATTCAAGAGAAGAAGCTGGGAGCTTTGGAAAAATGACACTTTATGGAAAAATGTGCAAGTAATATCAAAGTATGTGCCTCCAGAGAGGGCCAGAGCACCCGGCTAGAGCAACAGCATGTTTCAATTATTTGTCCACTTTGGCGTGTTTGAATTATTTGTCCACTTTGAACAGGCTTCTGCAGCCAAGGACTCACCACTGGGCCAGCTCAACTAATACCTGAAGGGATGCGCATGATCTCGTCTACAGGAAATAGCCGGAACAGGCAAGTCCACTGAGACACAGTGGCGTTATGCTTGCTCGTGGCTGGATAGAAGGTAGAACGGGAAGGACTGTGAATGGCTAGGGGCAATCTGTCTTTTCAGCATGATGAAAATACCCTATAACTGACAATGGTAACAGTGGCATACTGTTGTGTGACTGTACCAAAAACCAGTGGATTGTATACTTTTTAAGTGGGCCAACTGTATGGCATGTAGATTAGATCATAATAAAGTGGCTCACAAACTTTAAAGGGAGCTTGTGCTCATTGCTGGTGATTTTCTCATGAAGAGAAAATCTGGACTAGAAGGAAAGGTGTAAACCCCACAAGGAGAATGTGGCTGCGAGTCCAGGGTATTGGCAACTGGCAGATCAGCAGTAGATTCCCTATCAGAATCCTGGCTCCTAAGCAATGGTACCAAAGAATCACCTGGCACATTCTACTGAGGTGTAGATGAAAAAATCAACTTGCACCCAGCAACCTAGCTTCTTCTGACAGCCATGAGTGACCAACACTTGTGGCCTTGCCCAGAGTGTTGGAAACATGCCTATTCTCCCTGACACTTTGTAAAGCCTTTTGCCCTTTGCTAGAGAGAGGAAGGTGGCAGGCACTCACCTCTCAGACACAGCTTCAGCCTGCTCCTCCTTCTGCTCTATCTCCAGGATCTCTTCCTCAGTATACTCCAGCTTCACCCGCTCCTCAGCCAGCTCCCTCTCCACTGCTTGCAGCTGAGCTGTGGTTCGGGCCAGCAGCACTGTCACTGCGTCCTGCAAGAGGAAAAGGTTATTGTGAGAACCAGCAAAGCCTCTGACTCCCAGTGGCTAATGAACAGCACTGGCCATAGCCCAGGGCAAGCATTCATCCCACCTGCTGAGGCCCATCGCAATGGCCCTGCAGGAGGAGAACGTATCATACAGTTCACAGCAAGACACTCTTCAACCTGGCTCTACGGCTCGGGAGTGTAAATCTGATAACCTATGTGCCTCTTGTGATTAGCAACACATGTACATTGAAAAAAGCATCATCATCAAGTGGCCATGTGTGTGGACAAGTTCCACTGATTCTTGCTCTTGGAAGTCCATCACTGCCACATTTCACTTGAGGTATACATCGAATCTTCTAGAAATGACTTGTCCAAGCAAAAACCAGTGTGCAAGTCATGAAAGCAGCTACAAAACATGGGCCACGTACCGTCTTTCCCAGGCCAGCATGGGTGGGGCCCCGTGTAGCACTCTCAGCAACCCGCACAGGTTCCCTCGGCCTTGGGGGCTCCGAGCTGGCAAAGACCTGTACAGAGTACCAGCGCAGCTGCATGTCACTGCAACTGTCACAGTCGGCCAAGTTTATCTGAGCAATGCCCTGTACAGGAGTTAAAAAAGAAAAGCCAGAACAAGCACTGAAGGTCTTCATTTGACAACCAGAATCCCTTAAAAGTTCGCCCTTTAATTGTAAGATGTAAAACAGGTTGTTCCTACCAGAAGGATAAAAGTCCAGCAAAAGGGGGCCAAGGGGGGCCTAAAAGGGGAGTTGGCACTTGCTGACGCAGCACATTCAGAGAGTGCTGAAAAGAGAACAGGGGCCCACAGTGGCAATTGGGGGTGCTGAGTGAATCAGGCCTGAGCCAGCTGATGACACAGTTGTCTCAGGAGACTTGAAAGGACAAAGGACTGGCTGAATCTCTACTCCTTAGTTTTCCTACTGTGGGCACACAAAATGTGGAGATTCCAAATGTGAAAAGAACCCCACCCCCCAACTGCCATGTCCTGGCCACTGTTAAGGTCCATTCCTGGGGTTGTGAGGTAAATACAGGGCATCCGAGTAAATTTGAATTTCAAATAAACGATAGAGATTTTAGTATAGGTAAGTCGCAAATATTGCATGCAACATATTTGTACTAAAATATGCCCATGATTCCTTTGAGATTCAAATTGAACTGGACACTCTATATTTCTATTTGTTCCTTGACTTACAGCGGAGATAATATGGACGCCACCTCATGGAGGGCACGAGTGTTGATGAGACAATACACTTAAAGTACAAAACGGCCCACAAGATCACTGGTTTTGCTCACCTCTTTCCATACCCTCAGCCACAGACACCACTTAACATTACAACAGTTTCTAAGCAGAGACAGGGACGATAGAAAAGAGACAAAGGGAGGAAGGCAAAAAAGACAAAGACAGTAACTAAAGAAGAAAATGACAAGGATTAGGGGCATGGCTCAAATTGTAGGGTGCACACATGCAAGGCCCTAAGATCAAGTCCCAGTACTGCCAAAAAAAAAAAAAAAGGAAAATTACAAAGGAATAAAGAAAGGAGGAGGGGAGGGGAGGGGGGAAGGGGAGGGAAAGGAAGGGAAGGGGAGGGAAAGGAAGGGAAGGGGAGGGAAGGGAAGGGAAGGGAAGGGAAGGGCAGGGAAGGGAAGGGAAGGGGAGGGAAGGGAAGGGAAGGGAAGGGAAGGGAAGGGAAGGGAAGGGAAGGGAAGGGAAAGAAGGAAGTGAGGAAGGGGGAAAGAAAGAGGGAAGGAGGGAGAAAGGGAAGACAGACCAAAGAAGAAGAAGGAAAACAAAGCAAGAGGCCGGAGAAAGGCGGGCGCGCGCTGTGCGAGCGCAGGGCCCTGGCGCCATACCAGCAGTTCTTCGTGCAGCTGCAGATTCACTGAACACACATATAACTGAAGTGACTTCAACGTCAACATGCTGCAATGCACAGGGATTCTGAACACTTCATTAAACACCAGCGGGGCTTGGAATTCCAGAGCCTTCGAGCAGTAGGTGTTGGGAGTGCCAGAGTCGAGCGGGGGCAGGTAGACACGGATGTGGCTGGGAGGAGGGGGGAGGAGAAACGTTGGCAGGCAGCGTGGACTGACGTGCTTACTGACATGACGCCAGTGCGCACCCATGCATGTTGCCCTCTATACAGAATCCAAGAGGCAAACGTCAGAGTCCTTTGGAAAAAAGTCCCTTTATCAACTGAGAGTAAGCCCAAAGGGCCCTTGTGCCCCTGGACACTGGAGGGAGGAGGCGTTACTTTCCTAGAGAACCACTTGGAGGCCAGTCTTGAAGACTGGGGGCCCGGAAGTTCTGCTGGACACTATGTTTTGGCACGAACTCATTGGACCTCGGCAGCCTCACAGCTTCACTGCCAAGTTGTCAGCCCATCACCCACCAGGCACCGCCATGTTCCGGCACTCTCCACCCTCAGCCTGGGACTCCTGATACAGCAGGGAGCTCTCACATGTTAGGGATCACTGCACCATCTATCAGCAGAGTGAGCCCAATCCCAGGATGGATTCCTAGCCACTTGCGCCAGATTGTTTCTAAGGCTTTTGTAGAAGGCTAGTTCACAAACATTCTTGGCTAGGGGTCCACATTGGACTTGAATGCATCGTTAGTGGCGTAGTTGGCCACCTTGGTGAGTGGGGCCCTTCATTCGGGACCCACCCAGAGCTGCTGAACAGAGGGAGGCAGCGGTCCCATGATGGAGGCCAAGGCTACCAGGTGACCTCCAAGTGGTCCCAACTCACATTTCCTGCCCTCTTCTCTAGCCAAGGCCGCCCGAATCCCAACTTTAGGCCTCTTAGTGCACACTAGATCACCAAGTGGACCCACACCATTACCACCCATCCCTGGACCCAAGAAAACAGCCTCAGCCCCAGCTGGGTGAATGACAAGCATTTCCTAAACATCAACACAGTAGATCATAGGCTTGGTGCTATTAATTTCTTTTGCTTCTTAGCTAATTAATTAGGTTCTTTTCTTTAAAGTATGCTCCTTTATACTTCAGACAGACATTGTGTGGTATTCTATTGTAAGTTTCAGTTCCTATACTGTCTTTTCTCTCCCCACATCTGAGCAGACTAGGTGAGCCATGTTGTATGAAGGGCTAGCTCTCCAGAACCCGCAGATCCTTGAGCCCAGGAGCTTACATCTTGCACTCTTCTTTTATGAGCAGTCCAGCAAAATTTCTCAGTTGTAGAACATGCACAAGGAGACATTCGTTGGCACTGTCATACCTAGAAAATAAAGCCCAAGTTTGTGGACCATGAATTTCCCACGGAGGAAAGTCTCTCTGGACTACAAGCAGGCTGATCAACCGAGGGGCACTTTGCCCCATCCCATCCCTAGGAGACAAGTACCATGTCCGAACACATTTTTTACTGACACAACTAGAGGAAAAGGGTGTGCCATGGCACTTGGTGGGTAAGATGCTACTGAACGTCCTACAATGTATAAGAGTGACCCCCATAGCAAAGAACAGGCTGGTTCTGATGTCAACAGTGTCAACACTTAGAAACCACTACTGAAATAACAAGAGTGAGCCCAATTAAACAACGGGCATCTGAAGATCCTGCCCTGCCAGCACGAACACTACAGCTACTGCCTTCACAGAAACTAAATCAGAAACCAAAGAGTGCTGTCCTGGAAACCCTCTGGTTACTTATTCTGGGAATAAGGAAAAACCCTGCTACCTGTGTTGTAGCCAATACAACTCCTGGCAGAAATGTGTGAAATGCCTCCATTTTGCTGGACTTCAAAGGAGCTTACAGTAGCCCCGAGTCATAGCCCTGAAATCCTCAACTCCCAAGAGTGACAGTCCTCCGCTGTGAATACCACTGCTCAATGACAGCAACTTCTCCCCTCTCATTCCTCTTCTCTGCCTGTTGTCTCACCTGAGACCAGCCAACATGAGACTGTCACTAACAAGGATGAGGGAACAGCATGTGGGTCATGGGGCCCCTCCACTCCTCCTTGGAGGTAGGACCCGTAGGCAGGCCATAGTCAGCAGGCCAGCCTTAAAGCTGAGCTTTAACGACTAAGGGTGTTAAGGTCCAGGAAGCAGCACTCGGGCAGGCCCAAACTGGAAGGCATCTTGAATATCGACAGAAAAGGTAGCTTCTGTACTCACAAAAATCCTACGTGGATCTGGGGATCATTGCTACTGCACATGTCTCCAAAAGCAGACTCTTCAGTGTCTTCATTCCTGAACACAATCAGAAATGCACCAGGGTTGAGTCACTGTAGGTTATGCAGAAATACTTTCATGCCGAGAGCAGTGAGTTTCATCTTATTGTGATGTTAAGAAATAATTTCATTAAGTGGCTGAAAGGATCCATAGAGTACCATAGGTACCATGGGTACCTGCTCACAAATGGCGCTTCTTATTTATGCTGCTTTTGGTTTCTGTTTTGTTTTCAAAAATAGCTGTATAATTTTCAAAATCCCAGATGATATTCAGGGCAATGGTCAAACATGAACTTTAACTGTATTTTTTTTTGTCTTTTCTTTTTTGGTACTGGGGATCGAACCCAGGACGTTGCACTTGCTAGGCAAGCGCTTTGCCACTGAGCTACATCCCAGCCCTCAAACATGAACTTTAAAAATCGTTTGCAAAGTCGGAAATATCTTACAGATAACTGAGATTTACAAAGAAACAATGATGTCAAAGGCATTCAATCAGGACTGGCCAGGGTCGTGGCTCCAGTGGTAGGAAGCCTGCCTGGCTATACTTCCCCCCCCCCCAAATTGAGGGGGGAGCTTGGGCTCAGTGGTACAATACTTGCTCAGCATATGCAAAACCGGGTTGAGTGGGGTTTTTTTTTTCATTAAACAGGACTCCTAGAGCCAAGGAAAAAGGAGAGAAAGGAAATTCATTTTCTACGGAAGATCTTTTTCAGAAAAGCAGGTCACTTTTGTGTATATGCTGATTCTTCTTTTTTCAGCTCTATCGGACATAAGCTTTAACCCACAGCACGCAAGGGAAAAAGAAGTCATTCTAGAACAATGACCTCTAAAAACTACACGGAAACCAGAAGAGTTTTCTTCACAAATTTCTAAGGCCCGCCCTACCAAAGATGAAAAAAAAGCAAGGAAAACATTCCATCCTAGATACACAAAGTTTCCAGAAGACCATTTTTGTGCACAATACTAATGCTGTGGTAAGTTGGCTTAAGGAGAAAGAAAATCCACTACTCACCTTTTGCTTAGAGGTTCAAAGACTCCGCTATCACTGGCTAGCGAGTAATCAGATAGGCAAGCAGAGACCCGGCGCGCTCTCCTCTCCAACCTCTTTGCACTGTCTTCCCGGAGAGTCACTGCTGCAAACAAGGGACATATCTGATAAGGACAGGACAGCAGTAGAGGCCCTATGGCAAAGCACCATGAAGTTACTAAGTGCTTCAGAAACATACCATGATATGTACATGCAAATGAACACCACCATGAAGATGATCTTTAACATTAAAAAAGGAGAAGAAACAGACTGGCTATTTCTTGCTTCTTGAGGTAGGGTTGCATCTTTCATTTGTTGAGATAGGATCTCACTATGTAGTCCAGGATGGCCTTCAACTTGTAGTCCTCCTGCCTCAGTCTCCAGAGTGCTGGGATTCTAAGCATGTGTCAGCTTTGAACTTCTTTAAAAGCTCTTAAGCTGTCTAGACAGACACATGGGCTCATGCCTCTTTTCACTCCTTTGATGAGCACGCAGAACATCAGATGGCAGTGGGAAGTTCCTTCAAATTGCACTTTAGAAAGACTCATCTCCAAAAGAACAGCAGTTATGCTCTCTGAGGGCTGGGACCTTCCATTTCCCTTCTTCATGCTACCTGCTATTTACCTTTTCCCCGCATTTTTATTAGTAGCAATTGGTTGCACAAGGGGTTTCATTCTGACATATGCATACATGCATACGATGTACCTCGATCACATTCATTTCCTCCATCATTCTTCCTCATTCCCCTCCTTCCTTCCCAATCAAGTGTCAACAAACTTCATTGTTCCATTAATATACCTGAACATAAAATATTTTTGACCACATGCAACCTCCTTTACCCTCTTGATCCCCTTCTCTCTCTAATTACTACCTACATTCCAGGCAGCACCTGTCTCACATTCATGTCATTCATTCTTGTACAGTTAGAATACCAGCATCCCTTATATTTTTTATTTCATATTTATTTTAATCAAGAGTTACAGACAATCATTATGTTTTTCCTTTCTAATGTTTCCTTAACTATTTTTACCCCTTCCTTCATGGCAATGACTCTTTTTAAACAAAACTAATATGTATACAGTGTTTCTATGTTAAATGTTATTGCATACACAGGAATCTCAATGTTTCCTAGAAAAGCGTATATGGTTAAATTACAGAACTGAGCACAGCCATGCCATCACAACGCCTCCAGGTTTTTGTTTCTGTTTTTGTAGGTTGTGGGGCTTGAACTCTGGGCCTGGATGCTGTCCCTCAGCTCTTCAGCTCAAGGCCAACATTCTACCACTTGAGCCACAGTGCCTCTTCTAGTTTTCTGGTGGTTCACTGGAGATAAGAGTCTCACAGACTTTCTTGGCTGGGCTGGCTTTGAACCATGATCCTCAGATCTCAGCCTCCTGAGTAGCTAGGATTACAGGTGTGAGCCACCTGCGCCTAGCCATCACAATACCTCTTAATAACACAGGTCCCTCTATTGCCTTTATACATTTCTTTGGTTATCTAAAAATCCTAATCTCTGTGCATTCCTACGTTGAGGGAAATCATGAGTCCAAAGGTGACCATCTCTCTTTTCAACCAAATTATTATCCACATCGATTAAATACAAACATGTCAAAGAGCATACAAAACAGAAGAGGACATGGCCATTAGTCTCTTGATATCAACTGGAGACAAACACTAGCCTTCCAAAGATCTTCAATGTCAAGCCTGGGGTTATCTTCTATAGTCATCAGCCAGGGATGAATCTGGCTCTATCCTAGGGTGGCCAGAGGTATTGACTCTCAGATTGTACCCTTGACTTCAACATCTAGCTCTTTTCTTCAGCCCTGCCATATGAAAGGGCCTATAAATAGCTCTTTGGTGTGTGTCCCCACTCTGAAGACCTCTAACAAGTAAAATCTATCCCCTATGTCCATCCTCAGCTCTGATAGCCACTGAGAATACAAGGTAACAGCTCTGGGTAACAGTGCCATAGGGTAGACACTTTCAGGTCATACTGTCCTACGGTGCAATTCTGACCAAATTCCTCTCATCATCACAATGGGAGATCATGAAAAGAAAAGGGAAATGAAGGAACTAATCCTCATGGAACCCATGCTGAGTCAGTAAATCTAGAAAGCAAGAATCCCTAGGAGGAAGGACTTATGGCAATTGTCCAGGGTGAGAACACAATATACCTGAGATGTCTACTCCTGGGCTTCTAGGAAATGAGGTTAACTGGGGTAAGCAATGCCAATGAAGATAGGGGTAAGCAATGTAATGGAGTAAAGGAGAAAAATTCTACTTGTTCATTTTTAAACTTGTTACTTTTTTCAAATCATAAAACAGACAGACACTAAAACCCAAGGACATGAACAGTGCTTGCTAGAAAGGAAGGAAATACAATGAAAACTATGTTGGGGCCAAAGCTTCCAGATGCTACATTAAAGTAATAAGTGCTATTAAATATTGGGAAAAATACACATGGGGAATAAATACTGAAAGCTTTTCAGAAAAGTTTTTCAAGGACTTTATAGCCCCCATGACCATAAATAATGATAACAACAATCAATAAGCTACCCTGCACCCAGCACCCATCCTAAACATGGATTCACCATATGAAGATGTTCTCATGCCCAGAGCCTGAGCAACAAAGGGGAACAGAGAGAATTCCAAGGCCATTTACAGTGGATCTTTCAGTGGAGCCGCATGGAAAAAGAGATATAAGAAAGCACAAAGTGAAAAACCTTCAAGACTTTAGTCAGTACTTTCAACGTAAAAATACAATAAGAGCATCAATAGATTAGTCTAATCAAGATGTTTGGGGTTTTAATTAGCAAATACTAATGGACAGATTAAAATTGGAAAATACTACAAAATCACAACATAAATTGGACTTTCAAAATCCAGGGAAGATAGAACTGTTAAAGATGTTCAAGACTATAGTCTATCTCTCCACTTCTGTCCCCACCTTCTGTCCATCTGATTGATTTAAAACACAGTGGAAGAAATCATTGCCTTGTGGGTTTGTGCAATTGAGATTCTGGAGCAAAAGTTAAAGACTGCACTGTTTGTAGCAAGATTGAAAAGGTAGTAGGAACAGCATGACCGTGGGCGTGGAAAAGGAGTAGGGTAATATGATGAACGTCAAGCTCTATCTTTATGAAGCTCAAAAGCTCCCAAAGCTAGTCCTAGTGGGTCCGAAGCAGGTTAGGGACCCAACAAGACCAAGAAACCAATTTGGTCCATTATTTCAAGTTTCTTTAAGACACGTCAGCTGATAATGACATGTGAGAATCTAAAACCAGGTGGGAGTATATAAACAGCGATTGTTCACATATGGCAGTAACTGCCACAGACTAAGGGGGAAAACTAAAGAAACTACAGTCCGAAATTAAATCTGTTCTTCTCCCTTCCACCCTGGCTTTGCCCTGGCCCAAAGGGGCCCTCTGTAGGTTCTCTACATACATAAGCAGACTGCTATTCTTGGACCCCAATCTTGAAGGAGAACTTGGTAGATGGAGAGAAAGGGACGCAGATAAAAAGTTTAAGCAACACTAGACATCCAAATCAGGCCTTACTATGTATTTTCATTTCTGAATGAAAGGAATAAACATGGAACAAAGAATCTGTGATTGTAAAGAAGAACAAAGGGAATGAAGGTTACTTGTATGTGTGAATTATAGAAACAAAGTGTCTGAGGATGTAAAACTGTGTTTGCAAATACAGAGGGGGAAGATGCCAAATCAGCAGTGTCGCAAAAAAAGTCATGGGGACAGCCCAAAACATAATGATTTCTGGTTAAACATGCAAATGGTAGTATACTACTATTTCAGCTCTACCTTTCCATCTATCAAATGGTCTATTTCATAGGTAATAGAATAATGGTGAATGGAAGGGACTATACAATCACCTTGTTCAAGGGCAGGGAAGATGAGACAGCACAAGATCACATGACCAGAAGTCAACATGACATGGAACAGACTCTCAGCCTCTAAGCTGCTGATCTGAAGCTATTTCTACTACACCACACCGCTTTTATAGTCTAGTTTTATTTTTTACCCTTTGTTGCATAGTCAACAATATGCTTTTGGGTTTCCTGGCCTCTGTACTACTGGCATTGGGGATAGATCATGCTTTGTTGTGGGGGCTGCACTGCGCACTGCAGGATATTCAGAAGCCTCCCTGGCCTATTGCCACTAGATGCCAGGAGTGTTCGGCCCCCTCTAGTTGTGACACCAAAAAAATGTCTCCAGATATTGCCAAATTTGCCCTAGAGGAGCAGGGAAAGATCCATGATGCTTTTTAATAAATCATCTACTTCTTGCCTAAATGGAATGTGTAAGAACATTTTTTCGGTGCAAATAAGTTAATAGGCTGAAATTCAGGAATGGGAGATCTTTTTCTCAGTGTTGTTTAAAACCTAAGGAACCTAAGTGGTAGGGGTCAATATTCTCCCAAACTGCAGCCTAGCATCAAGGGGTTGCTGAATGACCAAGCCGAAGCAGATTTCCGCAGCCAAGCAGTTCTCCATTTGTAAGGCCACCAGAAAAATGGGTTTGGTAGAAATGACTGACTCTTCAGTTACTGTCATTTCCACATTTGGTGGAATTACATCCTTAGAAACTACTAGGACACGTGGATAAAGAGAAAAGGTCAAAGTGGCAAGAAAATGCAGAGCTCCTCTTGGGGTACAACCAGATACTAGTCTACCTGTTGGTATGGTGAGGGCACAGCACACACAGAATGTTCTTGACATACTCTCCAGAGCATGCAGAGACCCTAGTACTTCTCTGTCATCTTCTGAAGGTGGAAGATTATATGGTTATTACCTTCATTTTTAATCATCAAGCACATTCTAAAAATAAGCTAACAGCCTAAGAAAGATACTTTGTCAATGTCAACTATCTTTCCCAAAAGACAGGAGAGACTAGAGGAGATCAGACACTTCCTAGGCCTACCAAGGTTCCTAAACTATCAGCTGATCTCAAGACATGAAAAGCCACCGGCTTCAATGCCACTGCCCATGACTTCTCCCTGCATTTCAAACCTTGCTTCCCAAGAAGTCTCACCACCACTTACTTGCACTGGTGGGGGCACTGGACATTTGGGGTCCCCGTTCACGAGGTCCTTCCCCGTCCGCAGAGAATCCATGTGGCTGAAGCGACACTGTACCCTGCAAGTCTTCATCTCCTAAAGCCGAGGCCTGTGTGCGCAGTCTGTCCAGGGAGCCCAGGCCTGGCACCTCAAAGCCATCTGCCAACTGTGCCAGAGGAGAGTCTCGTGAAGCTGGGAGGAAGGGTGTGTCCAAGGGAGAGCTGGGGGGTGACAGGGAAGACAGGGAGGAGCGGGAGGACAGTGACGCCAGGGACTGGGGAGTGTCTAGAGATCGCCTCTGTTTGTGGAAGCCTGAGTGGCCCGGTGGGTCTGAGAAGGGGACATCTCGTCCCAGAGAATCAAAGGGAATGAGATCAAAGCGCAGAAGCTGGCCACATTCGGCGTCGGCCTTCTCGTACTGTGGAAGGCCGTAGATGTCTGTGAAGCTGACTGAGCTCAGAGAACCACGGCTGGAAGCCAGAGAACCCCGGCTGGAGGCCAGCGAGCCACGGCTACTCCCAGAGGATACCGTCAGGGTGCTGGCAGACAGGCTGAAACGAGAGAGCCAAAACCTTAAAAACACGTGCTACTGATACTCAGAACAGTTGCCAGCCTCGTTCTCCCCAGAAGTGAGCAGGGCTTAACCCCTGGCAGTATGAGCAGACCTTGGTTGGTATGTCTTCTGAATGACGCTAGGGGGCAGTGAGCAATAATAACAAAGCCTCCCGCCTGAGTTGGAGTTCAGGCTCAACAGCATACCAGTGTAATCAGCCTCCCACTTGCTCGCTGGGGACTTGGGGAACAACAAATCCTACCTCCTTGCACTGTTAGGGGTAACTGAGAGAGTCATTCAAATGAAGTCCTTAACATTATGACTATAATACAGCAAATACTTACAAAGATGACCTACTGTACTGCATCCAGATTTCACTGGAAAGTATTTAAACCCCTTAAAAAATCCAAAGTAAAAAAGTCTATGCTGCATAGGTGGACACTTCTGATACTGTCAATGAGATTACAAAACCTTTCTACAAACTTGGCTTCAGATTTATTTATTCTCTGTTTTGTTTCTTTGAGGCAGGGTCTCACTATGTACGCCAAGCTAGCTTTGACCTCATGATCCTCCCGAGTTAGTTTCTCTAGTGCTGGGATTATGCTACCAATTTCTGGCTCAGACTTTTTAACCCTGAAGCAAATTTGGTTCCCCTCACTTTCCTTTTTTTATTAGCTTGCATTAGTTATAGAGGGGGAAGGGCTTGTTTTCCTTTAGTCATACGTTAGCAAGTTATCTTAAAAAACAACAACAACAACAAACCACCTCAGGTTCCGAGCTCCCAGCAGGAGAAAAGTTCAAGCTAAAGAGCATTATAAAGTTAATGCACATGTCATGCAGCGTGATAATTGAGTATAAGTTTTTTGTAAAGTAACCTTCCTTTCATTTCCGAATTGTTATTACATTAGTGATGTACAAAGGGGTCACAGTTGCATACATCAGGTAAGGAGCACATTTCTTTTTGGACAATGTCACCCCTTCCCTCGCTCTCTCCCAGTTTTCCCCTCCTGTCGCCACTCACAAGTTGTATATTTCATCTTCCACACAGTGTCTAGTGAGTACCACTGCTGCTTTTGCTCATCCTTTGTCCCTCCACTTCTGTGTCCCCCTTACTCTCCCCAAAACAAATAAATGAGCAAACAAAAGAAAACAACAACAACAACAAAGAAAAAAGCCTTTTGTTTCCACTTCTTGGACTTCCTTTTGATAACTATTATTTTATATGATCAGAGGCACATAGGCATTGCGCTTTAACCGACCTTTTTAACTGAGACTGGAGATAGGATGTTAAGCGGGTAGCTTCCTCCAGCTGCATAAGCAGACAATTTCTTTTTTCCTGAAGGAGAATCCTGTACATACAAAAATAGTTCTTTGGTGAGTTCAAAAGGCAAGGAGTATATTTTCATAACAAGAAATTCAACTGTAGATTCCCCCCAAATGGTTCAGGTTGGAATGACTATCAATTCTACAAGTGTATAGAACGTAAGTGCCGAGATAAGATTGCTTTGTCTTACTTGAAAAATCCAATCCTGGCACTTGGAGCAGTGCCTAGTTCAAGTAGATGCTTGAACAGTGGATGAATAGGAGGATGAATGGGTACATGGGTGGCTAAGTGAAAGAGTGGATGAGTGGACAATCTGGCCATATGAATTCGGTGGGTTGGGTGAGTGGATGGATGGAAAGGTGAGTGGTTAGAAGAGACAGAATAATAGGAGACTAGACTAGAAGCTGGATTCAAGTGCATAGCATGTATTACTCTGATGGGATTCCTCAAAATAAATCCCCTCCCTCATCCTATGCCTCATTCTAGGCAAAAACAATGGAAGGCTCTGCTGACTTTATCATAAAATAGGCTCTACCACTGTGGCTTGAGTGGGCCACAATCTTTTCCAGTCAAATATTTTCATAACCAGGGCTACTACATAACTGATTTTAAATGTGAATAGCATATATTAAAATACATGTTTTTTCCCATCAGGAGATTGCCAGTCCTCCCTCAGCGATCTCATGTAGTCCCCTCTTTCCCAAGTACATTTCCTCAAGCAGCCAGATTACCTTCAGATGTTCACCAAAAATGGCATACTGTGTGACAACAGGTCAAATGCTCAAACAGCTGCTTTCTAGAAAGTCAAACTTCAAAGTTTATAAAAATGTTAAATAATACCACTCCTCACTATTTTGTTTCAAAAAAGTAGTCATAAAAGTGTTATATATGTATGTATGGTTGTGTGTGTGTGTGTGTGTGTGTGGTGTATACATATGACTCAAGTGGCAGAACACTAGCTTAGCAAACACAAGACCCCAAGTTCAAATCCCAGTACTGGAGCTTCCTGGCTAGAAATCAAAGCCAGTGATAACAGCAGTAAGTAGGGAGAATTCTCCAAGGCAACAACTCCCACCCATCTCGGTTCCTGCCAATACCCCCAAGCCTGTCTAGAGTGTGTGGCCCACAAACACAGACAAAAGCACCAAGCATCTATGCCAGGAAGGGTGCAAAGGAGAAGACATGTCACCTGTCTCTCCTCTCTCTCTCTCTCTCTCTCTCTCTTCTCCATCATCTTTTACTTCTGACCAGGCACCAGAAGCCTCAGAACGTTGGGGAGCAGCTACCACCTCCCATGGTGCAGAAGGCATGTGCTCCTATTTCCCTTCTACTTGCCAAGGAGATGTGCCAGGAAGTAGCTGCTCTCAGGAAAAGTGAAGCACCCTCAGCTCAAATTTTAAAATCCAAAATCCTGGTGAATCCCAACATTTCTGATCACTCGCATGGCACTTAGAAGTTTTGAATCTGGGCCAAATGCAGTGGCTAAGGCTTGTAATCCTAACTACTCAGGAGGCAGAGGTCAGGGGATCAAAGTTCAAGGCCAGCCCAGGCAAAAAGAAGCTCGTGAGATTACCCAATGTCTGGTCATGGTGGTACTCACCTGGTATTCCAGCTACCCAATGGCTGGGTAAAGAGGCATGTGCCTGTCATCCCCAGCAACGCGAGGAAGCACAAGTAGGAGAAGAGAAGCCCATGCTGGCCTGGGCATAAAAAACAACTAATTGAAAAAGAGGTAGAGGCATGGCTCAAGTGGTAGAGCACCTGCCTTCTAGAAAACAATCACTCTCAAGTATACAAAAAAAGGCTCTGGACTTTGGAGCATTTCAGAGTTTAAAATTTCAGATGAGGAATGTTCAACTGATATGGTCCATGTAAATTTTTTAAAATCTAAAAGAAAATCCCAAACTGAAAACACTTTTGGGCTCATGCCTTTCAGATAAGGAATACTCAACCTTCAGTAATCATGGGCATCCTCAAGCCATATACACAGCATCTAGTTAGTTTTTCCAGTTGGCTCTTCACTGGAAGCCAACGTCCCACTTGCCCTTGAACCTCTGGAGAGCAGCCCACCTTTCCGTGGCACCCTGTGCAGATGTGGCTCGTGCGCGCTGAATCTCCTCCTCCAGGCGCCTCCTCTCCTCCTCCAATCGGGCCATGTCTTCTGTCGACCTTCGCTGCTGAATGATAAGCTGCAGCTCTTGAAGCAGAGCCTCCTTCTCTTTGATGAGCTGCAGCCGGTCCCTGTCAGCCTCTGCCATGCCTGGCCATGACTCATTAGCAAGCTGAGCCAGCTGCTGCTGAATACTGGACACTCTGTGTACGTGAGAGAGAGAGAAGGGTAAGGAAGCTACCACCAAACTGAAAAAAAAATTACTTCTCACACATGCTCTGTACCATCACAGTCTCTATAAACTCACTTTGTTAAATAAATAATGAAGTAATTACACCAACCTTGACAGAATTGGGAAATGATGGCTCATGAAAACAGTGCAAAAGTGCTTTATATAACCTCTCCTAGTCCAAGACTGGAGGCAACAATAATTACCTTGTGTTTAAAAAAAATGGACAAAAAGGCTAGCAGTCCTCAACACACCCACACTCTTTGTTGTTTCACATTCGTAGTTTTTTACATAATGCCAGAGCAGAGTGGAAAGAAGCTATTCATTTCTCCATGTCCCACAGTCACCCATAGCTAAACACGGCCACCAAACAGCTAACAGATACTTTAGGCTTTCTGCCCCCTCAGCCATGCCGAAGCACCTTGGAAAAATAACAGAAGAGAAACACACCCACCAACGGGGCTTCTGAGAAGCACAGTTACAAAACGGGTGCTCTACATCTTCTGGCTCTGTGTGTTCCTCCTGCCTCAGAGACCCTGGTCACATGTGAATGCAATCACCTTGCGCGATACTCAACACTAGCCAAGTGCATCAAACGGTGGGCAGATGCATAAACACATCTAGCAGAGAGTGTGGGTGTTGGCAGAAGACACTCTGGCCAGATGCAGCCCAATCAACCTCACCAAAGGCATCAGCACAATCCTCATCTGGGCGTGAAAGTCTCTTGTCACTTCCCAGGCCCCTGAATTTCCAAGTGCTTCCTCGGCAAACAGACTGCATCACTTTTTTGTTGTTGTTGTTGTATCATAAAGTGGTGTCGAGTGTCGACTAAGTGAAACAGGCAGGGCTTATGTTTTGAAAGCCTCCTTCAAAGTGGAAGTAGTATGTTTTAAGCTTCTTAAGTAAGGCCCTCATAATGACGAGGGCTCATTCCAGGTAGAAACTAGGCAGAGAAGCAAGCAATGCCAGACTCAGCTTGACCCCAATGCTGTGGGGATGAAATCTGGCAGAGATGCCTAAGTACACAACCCACAGACTTCTCTGAGTTCATAGAGAGCTATGAGAACACGTAAGGTGCAGGAACATTGTTCTAAGGCAACAAAGTGGGGTCCTTGGGACCAGCAACCTCAGCATCACTCGGGAGCTGTTAAAAAGGTCACTCTCGGGTCACTTACATTTGCTGAATCTAACAGTATAGGTTAGGCTCTGGCAGTCCAGCACTTGACAAACCTTCTGGTGCTTCTGATGCTCACTCAAGCTGGACACATACTGCTCTCAGATAGAGCTGCCTTCTCGGCAGCCCTGCCTGGTCTAAAGGATGCTAACTGGCCTCAGGGATTTTAGGAGTTTGCATTGGGCTCATTTTAGTGAGGATCAACATCCTCACTAAAACAGAAATGGCAGGTGCATGACAAGAGAATTCCTGAGATTACACACTGACACTAACCAGGCCTCATTTCCTGCATGCTGGATCCAGCCCTCAGACTCCATCTAAACACTGCGTCCCACACACATGCTCCGGAATTGACTGAAGTAGGCCATCTATTAAACATGGTGTCTCACACAGTGCCGTGTCAGGCTCTGCCTGATCCACACACAAGCTAAAGGACTTAGTAATCTGGTCAGAGGAGGGGACACAAGGAAACCCACAGTCATGAGAAAGAAAGCGTATACAAACTCGAGCCTAAAGGTACACATTTCACCCAAGCTCACTTCTCCAAGAATGTGAAGAAACTAGTTGCATGCCAGTAGCTTTTATCGACAAGTTCTTTTCGAACTCGAAGCAATTTCTTGAATATGTGTTGGGAAATGATGCCAAATCATGTCACTGAAAAACTAATGACAGAGGCAGCTGAACAGGGTCAGGAATCCAACTAGGCTTAAGCGTCCGCCTATACCAAATTAGTGTAATTAAAATTTATGGCAGTCATATAACTGAAGCCCAAGGAAAATACGTTCCAAGCAGATCCATAAATAACTAGGTGCCAAGTAAGACACTATACCCAATGAAGTGTCTGCAGAATTTTACTGCAAACCAAGTCAAGTCAAAGGTAAAAATTAAAAACAAAAGACTTGAAGAACAAGGAGAAAACCTACTGTCCTCATACTTTTTAAATTTCAATTTATTGGATCCATCGGAAAGTCAATATACATATATGCATTTTCTCCTCCTCCTCCTCCTCTTCTCTTGTTGTCAATATACATACATGCTTTATTTTTTCTCCTTCTCCTCCTCCTCCTTCTTCTTTTGCAAGTCCTGGGGCTTGAACTCTGGACCTGCACTCTGCCCTGAGCTTTTTGTTCAAGGCAAGCACTCTACCACTTGAGCCACAGTGCCACTTCTGGCTTCTGGTTTTTTAGGTAGCTTATTGGAGATAATAGTCTCACAGAGTTTCCTGACCAGGCTGGCTTGGAACCTCAATCCTCAGATCTCAGCCTCCTGAGTAATTAGGATTACAGACATGAGCCACCAGCACCTGGCTACATGCATTCTTAAAAGCACTCCTTTTAGGTTTTTTGAGGTTTCTTTTGGTTTTAGTTTTTTTGATATTTCTGGACATGGAACCCAGGCAGGGCCTTATGCATGCCAGGCAACAACTCTACCACAGAGCAACATCCCCAGTCTCTGGAGGTTTTAATGGTGAAGTGATCACAATTTCATTTGAACCTGCCAGCTCTGAGATAACTGGTATGGACGAGGATGCCAGTTCCAGATAATTATACCTTCCCTAGGAAAATCGCAAGTAATGTGCACTATCAAGAAAAAAAGAGGAAAAAGAAAAAGAAAAAAAAGAGGGGCTGGGAAGGTGGCTCAGTGGTAGAGCGCTTGCCTTGCATGCTTGAGGCCCTGGGTTCGATTCCTCAGCACCACATAAGCAAAAAGAAAAAAGCCGGAAGTGGCACTGTGTCTCAAGTGGTAGTGTGCTAGCCTTGAGCTGAAGCGCTGAGGGACAGCGCCCAGGCCCAGAGTTCAGGCCCAACGACCGGACCCCCCCCCCAAAAAAAAAGAAAGAAAAGAAAAGAAAAAAGAATGAGGATAAGAGAGAAGAGAGGCTTTAGAGCAACTTTCAGAAGGTCTGCCTGCCTCCGACATAAAGAAACAGTACTACAGCCAAAATTAAAGCATGCAGTCAACCTTTCAGAGCTTGCAGGAAAAATATGCAAGGATCTATGGGGAGGGGCGACCTCTCCAACAGAAACAAGATCCGGATAAGGCTGATTTCTTACAACTCATCTGGAAAAGTTGTTTCGGCTGTGCTGAACCCGTACAAGCATTTCCATGCTTAAGCCTAGTGCCCTTTAAAGTAAAATTTCACAGCAATACAAATGATTCCAAGTTCAATTTTAAGCTATCTATGAAGAGGAAGTGGCCTATAGTAGAAAGTATATCCTTCCTTATTCCCTAGGTGTAGAAATTTGGGGCCCCTTTCAGCCAGGTCAAGAGAGGCACATCATTCTTTGTCTATTCTGGAAGCCAAAAGCACTAGGATTTCTTCAACAATGGATTGCTCATACATTCCCCTTGCCTTTCAAACAATATGCTTGTCTGCTGTGTTGTGGAAAAGAGCCATCTGCAGGGAGTATCTTCAATATGGGAGGTTTACATGAGGAAACAGACTTCTTGCCTAAAGCTAAACACAGATGTGCTGAGAGGCTCAATGCACCTTCTTCTATATCCATGCCAAACAGCTGAGCCTCTACTTAGAGCCCCATTCCTGTGAGGGCCATCATTCCAGTGCTGGGCATTAAAGGAAAAGCAGTTTCTAGAAAGGATTTTCTTTGAAATATCATTTCAGTGACATTAAATACACAGGAACAAAGCAAGATTGTGATTAAAGTTTGCCGAAAAAAAACTTGTCCAAGTGCATTTTTAAAGAAAACTGAAAGCCACTTGAAATTGGTAATAGTTTTTTTTCCTTTTTCTTTTTTGTACAAGTCAACTATCTGTTTTATTGGTTCTTATTTTTGATAGATTATACTTTTTATAGTTTATAATCTTTCACAAATGCCTTCAAAAAGCTTAAAAACATATGTTCTCATGCCCTGATAGTGAAGAAATGAAAAGTAAATCTTGAATTAAGCATTCAGGTTTCATATTTATTATGGGCTTTCAAATTCTCTAATGTAAACCAGGAGTCATCTTTCCCTTATGAATTCTACCCAAACAACTTCTCTGTTTAAATCCAAGTACATTAAACCATGAATGAAAACCTGAATTCATGCTGCAGAAACGATTTAGATTCTCACAATGCATATGGACATCTTAAATGACTTGCATCTTTCCTAGAAAAGCGCACTTCTGATATTTAAAACTTTTGAGGCGCATCAAAAGCAATCTCCAATTATTTGAATCAATACCTAAACTCTGAATTCTGAAATAGCCCAAGTTCCTAAACTTCTGCTGCTTTCTGGAAGAGCAAACAGAAGCCGCCCTGTTTGATGATGATGAGCCATGCTGGATCCTAATGCCACTTTGCAAGACGTGAAGACAACTTTGAGATCTGTGCCTTCAGATTTCTATTATGGTCACAGACTTGATACTTCTTACATTTTTTCTCAATTTTACTTTTTCATCTATTTAAATGAAAGTAGAGACTAAAGAAAAATCTCATCTAAGATCTAAACAGACAATGAAATCACCTCACCTTGCTGAACAAAATATTGGTAAACCACTGTACATTCTGCCGATCTCTACATAGGTAGTTCAAGAAATCTGAATTTAGAAAATACAGTGCCAAGAATGGTCTGCTAATAAATAATCAATGTCTTATCTAATCCTCAGTTTCCCTCCCTAATAACTTCTACCCTGAAAAATATACATCGTCAGAGCACAACATCCTCATATAAAAAACCACCAAGTCTTTCAGCTACTTTATCCTGACTCAAATGGAGAGGATAAAGCTTTAATAGCAAAGATGCTTTTCTTTCTTTCTCACAGCTGTAGTCTACTCCCCCAAAGCAAAATACAAAGTC